AACAAGATACTTTTCAGATACAGGGAAGGAGGTGTGACTGAATGATTACAAAAAAGATTTGGGCTAGAAGGGAAAACAAGTCTCGGACACAAATCCTAGGGAAAGTAGAAAATGACYGCCACAGTGATTAAGCATGTAGACTCTGGTGACAGATTGTCTTTGCTCAAATCCCAGCTCCTAGTGTGATCTTGCATAACATCCTCCACTTCAGAGCAGCAGTTTTATCATCTGAGATGTGGGGATGTAACCTCCCCCCCCCCCACCGTAGGGTTGCCGTGCAGATTAAATAAGTGTCCAGCAGGTCATCAGTGCTCCACAAATGCACCTGCTCTTCTTGTTGTTGGTACTGAGATCTGAATTTTCCCAGCTAGAYGATCCACACAGGATCAATCACTTTCCTCCCCAGTAATGTAAGTGTGCTAATCTTTGCCATTTGCCTCCCTGAGAAATGGCATGCTCATCCCTTCAACTTTCCAATTGACTCCTTGTTCACTGTCCCAGTTAGCTGAGACAGCAGTTGGCTGGAACTGATGTTCCATTCAGTYAGAGAAGCAGGACCTGCTTTCTGCCCTTCTCTCCCCTTTTGTTACTGGTCGGTGCTCAGTGACAAGTGACTGGKAGGCAGGCAAAGAAAAGAATGCTCCAAAGATGACCTGTTGCTCTCTTCTCTTCCTGATCCATTTATGTCTGAGAGAAGTATTTGCCCTTGGCTACGTGCTGTTTCTCACTCTGAGTCACGTCTCTTCCTTTCTCTCATCATTCCYCACCCCTACCTTTTCCTATAATGGCAAAATGACTTCTCCAGCCGTGCAGCCAAGCTGAGTGACCTAACACGTCCAAATGCAGGCAGATAGGTGTCCCTGTCCTATTTTTGGATAATTGTTGAAGTGGTGTCCTCTGATTTTTCTGACTGCTCTGTGGTGTCCTTTCTTTGCACGGACACAGCAGCAGTCAATAGCAGAGAGGGGCAAGGTGAAAGAGACACAGGTGGTCACAGCTATAGTTCAGTTTTCAGCTTCAGTTTTGCTCTCTAAGCTGTCTTTAGGGTACATGGTTCCAGCAGAGCCCTCAATGCCCCCCTCCCGGGGTCCTTTTCGTTCAATAAGACAAAAGCCACTCTCCTCTGTGGAGATAAAGAAGTCTTTGCTGACTTCAACTCCCTCCATGCCTGTTCAGTTTGTGTTGACCCCTGCTCTAGGGATTCGAGGCAGGGGGGTCCAAAAGCAAAGCTGTGAGAGGTAAAGGTCATGTCATTGGAGCCTCCTGTTTTCCATTCTCTGTCCCAGCTTTCCCCTGGGTAGCATCTCTTTTAATCTGTGTGTGGTGCCCTCACACTGCACTCAGGGCCCCCACACGCAGGTACCCATACAGGTTCAATATCCCCTTCAGGCCATCCATTCACACTAAAGTAAAAGATGACTGCTGATCAATTGAAATGTTACCCCACTCAAGGGTACTTTGCACTTAAAAATCATCAAGGGATAAGGTTTCTGTGATGGCATTTTGGATATTAATCCAAAGAAAAAAGCTGAAAAGTGAGTTAAAAAATGATTTGAAATATGATGGAGATTTTGCTCACTTTGGTATTTGGCGGTGAGGAGAGAGAAGACATTGGGATGGTTAGATTACAGTAGTGCAGATTATTTTTATTTCTAAAGTACATAGCCTGAATATTTACTATACTTGTGTATCTGAATATCTAGTAGACCATGTCCTCTGCCTCCTCCTTTGTCAGCCTGCCCTCCATACATGCACACACCTTAAGGGAAAGAATATATTGAATCCTGACTTGTGATGAAGCTCTAGGTCCCTTTTTCTTCTTCTTCTTCTTCTTAGCTTTTTTAGGCAGTGTGTAACCCTGTAAAAATCCTGTAAGATCTTATTATCTTAAACATTTTACAATGATAAAGTTGCAAACTAAAGAAGTGACCCATTATTTGTATTTTTTTCTCTATCGAGATTTAATTTGACCTGGAATTCAAATGAGACAAACATGAGCCCTTGTTTTCTGAAATGTAAAACTCTATAGAAACAACATTTCAATCGCATACATTTCAAAGTGAGAGACAGGCTAGTGAAAGAAATGGCAACATTCTAAGAAGCATACAAGTTATATTACCATATGATTTTTCTAAGTGCTAGGATTTCCTAACCCAGGAACTCTGGAAATAAATTTCAGATGAGAGATTGGAAACAAAAGTCAGGCATTGATCCAGAGGATGAAATACACCTGTATGCTTTACATAAGTTTCAATTTTCCTGCCTTCATGGTTTCTGAGACAGAAAATCGTATTCAAATCACTATATTTCAGACCCGTTTTATAAATGAAAAAAAAATTGAGTGTCATTTGTACCTGTACTTCTATAATCATTCCAAGTTTTCTTCAGCTGTTTATTTCATTGTTCATTYAGAAATTATTAATTACACTTATTAAGTACTGAGTACCAATATATACCTGGGAGTGGTCTTCATACACAATTTTATATATTAAGACACAGAAAAGGTATTTAATGTGGAGAAATTTTGGAAACATGTCAGGATTTAGGTAGGCCTTGGGGGAGAGTTGCTGGCATGTGGCAGGAGAGAGTGGGATTACATAAAAGTAGCACAAGTTTTCAAAAAGGCTATAGAAGAATCACTAACAGTGACAGCAGACTGATAGTGAAGGCCTTGTGTATGTTGCTCAAGAGTTTGGATGACCATTTTAAGGGAAATGACATGGAAGTTTTGATAGAATCACTTTGTTTTTTTTTTTTAAGAGAAAGAGGGATTTTAGATTATATTGAAGGTAGCAAGTGCGGCTGGTTAGGAGGCTCTGGCAAGTAGACAGGCCAAAGATAAAGACGGTGATGAGCATGGCAGTTGCATTAGTCAGCTTTCTTTCGTTGTAACAAAATACCTGAGATAAATCAGCTTAAAGGAGGAAAGATTTGTTTTGGTTCATAGTTTTAGAGGTTTCAGTGAATGGTCACTTAGCCCTATTGTCTTTGGGACTGGGTCAAGGCAGAACATCATGGTGGAAGCATTTGGTGGAAGAAACTACTCACCTCACAATGGTAAAGAAACAAAGAGAGAGACAGAAAGGGGCCAGGGTCCCAATATCTCCTTCAAGGGTATACCCCAATGACCTAATTTCCTTCCCCTAGGCCCTACTTCCTGAAAGTTCCATCRCCTCCCAAAATTTCCCCAGACTGGCAACCAAGCCTTTAGTATATGAGTCATTAGGGGACATTTAAGATTCAAACCAAAACAGTGCTATAGCAACAAGTTTGGTAGAAAAATCTTTGAATTTATCCTAAGTAATTTAAAATATAGATTTGTATGTTATTTTTTGGAAAAAAAAAAACAAGAGCTGACAAAAACCTAAGAATTACTGTCACAAAGAGTCAAAGTCATAACAATCACTGGAAGAGAGAAAAATACATGTATTATGTTTAATGAATTCATAGCATGCCAACCTCATAATTGACAGGAAATTCATTGCCTTTTTTTTTTTTTTAAGTTTCTGAATTGAGCAGCTAGATTGGTTAAAAGAGACATGGTAAAATCTGTACCCTACTTAAGTCATAGAAAAACCATGAGATGGAAAGTTCTTGAGATATCATGTTGCTAAAGATAAGAAAACTGAGACCCAAAGGTTAAAATCATTTTCAGGAGTGACACACCTTGGATTGGAATCCAGAGGTCTGACTTTGTGCTTGGCATTCTTCATTACAATACAAAAATTTCCCAAGATAAGACATTGAAATAAGTTAGTGGGATGCAAATGACCATTGAAAAGAGCAGGTTTTAAAGTTCTTTGAAACTATAAAGAACATGTTAAGAAGCCAAACACCGTCGTCTTTATTATTAAAGGTTGGTCATTTTCCCAGATTAACTGACCACAAGAAAATAATACCAGCAACTACTTGTCACACACTTGCTTTCCAAAAATAATTTTGGACTTTGGTCTGGCTTCATGATACAGATATGTAAATCCATGTGATTTATATTGTTATTACTTTCATACTTAAAAAATTAGAAACAGAAATATTATTTTATTTAGGATTAGCAAGAAGAGACTTTATAAAGATGAAAGATGGTGGGTTTATGAGTAAGTGATTTCATACTACTTATCAAGTGTTAGAAAAATTTATGTGCAATCTCTTTAAGGGCTAGGAAAACAAAGAATAAATTCCTATCTTGTAGTTTTTAAAAATATATTCCTGAATAAGCAATAACTCATGTATTTATTAATTTTGAGTTTTTAATAAGTTAAAATTAGCTTGATGTGTTTCTTATTGATCAATTCCATGTTTAATGCAATAAATGCAATAAAAGCAATGCACATATTTATGAGTTTTTAGAAAGTTTATTATGGACAATGAGGAAGTCTCCTTGCTTGTCTTCTTCCTGCCCCAAATAAAAGAATCAACATGTTTGCATTTGAAACTTTGATTCACTTTATCCAAAACTTGTTTTTTTTTTTTTTTTTTTGGTACTGGGGATTAAACCCAGAGATGCTTTACTACTGAGCTACATCTCCAGCCATTTTTATTTTTTATGTTGAGACAGGGCCTTGCTATGTTGCTTAGGGCCTCACTAAGTTTGGAGGCTGGTCTCAAATTTGCCATCCTCCTGTCTTAGCCTCCCGAGTCACTGGGATTATAGGTGTGTGCCATCTTGCCCAGTTTTATCCAAAATTTGAATTTTTGAATTTCATGAAGTGAAATACTTCGTGAAAACTCTCAATAAAAATTCATTTTGAAAGTAAGCAATACTGTTCAGAAATGAATAAATCATATTTATCACTTATACATTATTATAATTATATAATTTTTATATATTTTGGCTTTAAAACTTGCCAATAAGTATTTGAAAGGATTGAAGCTTGTGACTTACTAAAATAGATATTTTATTAATCAATTATTTTGAAGCAATCAAAGTATCTAAATGTTTAAAAAATTTTAAATACAAAGCATATAAAGTCATGAGACTGATTGACCTTTTAAACTAACACAGTAAAATCTTTATAGTCAAATGAGTGAAAGTGCTTTAACGTCATGATCATGAGTTTTTTCTAAGGATGCTACAAAATCCTCACATGGTTTTGAAATATCTTTTATATAACTACCTTCAAAAGGATAGGAATGTCCTAATTTAATCATTCTCTTGATTTGGTTCCCAATAGTATTCCAGTTCAATCATCCTTTATATTTATCAGAATATAATTTGGGAAAGATTTATCATTTAAAAGGATATTCAAAAGAATGCTATTTCAATTTCGATGGTGGTTCTGAAATTTGAGTATTTACACACTTTTAAGATATGTAAATTATAGTAGCTACTCACCCTGTAGACAGTTTTTGTACATTTATCATTTTAGAATGAAATTTTTAAAGTAACAGTAACTTATAACACTAAAATAGGACTCTATGGCTCAAAAACAATAATTGAATATGGTATTACAAAATCTACATTAGAGAATATCTTAAAAGTTTGTAGCTGTTAATTTTTAATTAATGCATGTAGCTTAGTATCAAGGACCCCCAAATTGAACAACTCTCCCATAAATCTTTCTATATGAATCATTTAGTAGAAATTTATTGTAGGATCAGAATAGCCTGTATCATCAAATGTTACTAAATAGCACCAACATTATTTGAAAGTAAAATGAAACATTCATAGAAAAGCAGAATTAAAATTGCAATTATAAGATTAAATTTGCAACTATAAAAGAGAAAGCATCTTCTAGATAAGATAGCAATTAGATAGGAATTATCTTAAAATCATAGCCAGATCAATATCAGTCATAAAACATTTCAGGATTTTTCTTGAAAAAGTTAGAAAGGAAAACCTTAAATTCCTTCCCAAAGAGACATAAAAAGGCTTACATAATCAAGACAGTGCAATCTTACCAATGAAGTTACTTTGTAGGAGATACATTTACTTTTTCTATATATTAGTTCAACAAGATAATATAATAAAAATGCTTTAAAGCGATTTGATTAGAGCAAGATTTACATTAAGTACAAAATATACAGTAAAATGAAATATCTTGTTAAATAGGTCTATAAGATAATAATATCTGAAAGGAACACATTTTCATGAATCTATTTTCACATTTATTATATTTGATAATTACTATCATCATTATATTCTTTTGCTATTTCAGTTTCTAGGATCTTATTATAGGTTATCTCTAGGTATCCTTCTATCTGTAAAAGTAATAGAAAAAGTATTACTCCCATAGTAAAAAAAAAACATATGTATATAAGAAATCCCACATTTTACGAGCTGTTTATACAAAGCTATTGTAGTGTTTTGAGAGAAGTGTTCCTTGATCACAAGTTAGTCCGTACAAAATGTGGACCTTTTTACAAAGTAAAAACTGTCTCCCTTTAAAATTAAATGTTGTCAGCCTAGTGTATACTTCTGGTTATAAAATTAGACATGAAATTCTTGGCTCTTAATTAGAAAAGCATAACTTGCCAATAGCTGTTTCCAAATGTGGGTGCCCATCTTAATAGTTTTCTTAATTAGACCAGTTGAGCAACGAAGAGAACAGTAGTGCTTTTATGTTACAACAACAAAGAAGTATTACAGTATTCAAATCTCCAGACAGCAGTTTAAATGCTCAGTCCTTGCTCAGTTGCAAATTGACAGAAGAGAAGCAGCGTCCAATGCTTGTATACAATGGGGCAATGATAACATCTGTCACACTCTTCCATATTGTCTGCACTGATGGTAGAACCATCAGGCAGGTCTTTACAAAAGGCATTATAATCCTGGAATGGAGGAAGAGGAATGTGTAAGGATTATTCGTGTTATCAAATAAGACCAATGACTCTTGTACATGTGTGAAAAGATACAATAAAGACCAGACTCACTTAAATTTGACAAATAATTCAAAATAAATGGACAATGACCATAGTGATGAGAAGCACAAAAAATAAGTGGCTTAAAAAAATAAAGAGGCTACTCATACTCTTGGTAAATGCTATCCAAAACAGGGCAACACAAATAAACAAATAGTTTATTTATTTTTCTGATCTCTGCCCCTAAACATTAACCTGCCCAACTTGCCTTCTTTCTCTGAGGTTCTACTTCATGACTGCCTCTCCTGGTGCCTAATCCTCCTTCCCTTCCCCCTGGACCAGGTAGAGTTGCATACTCTCTCTCTCTTTCTCTCTCTCTCTCTCTCTCTCTCTCTCTCTCTCTCTCTCTCTCTGTGCATCTATAGTACTGAAACACACTTGCTAATCCTGATATTTATCAAAAGGTATCATAAATAGATGCTTATATTTCTGGCTTTTCTTCTGGAATATAAGTTCTTTAAGTGACTTGACCTTTCATAAATATTTGAGCAGAAATAAAATTTTGCATTCTATTGTGCTCCATATGGTWAATTATGCTTCATATTATTAATTTCCATAGCAATTATACACATTAAGGCTGTGTGGTATAGTTAAATTAGCCCTGAAATTGACATTAGTATCTTAGACAAGAAAAAAAAATGAGCCTTTCCTTAAATTACTTTTGCACATCTTTTAAAAAAAATAGCTTAATATTCTTAAATTCCTCAGGATAGTGAACTTTCTATGTAATATTTGAATGATTTTTTTTGTAGTGCTCTTTGAGTACAAAAGTATGTGAATTCTTAGGCATTGTTGGTAGCTTTAATGGAAACTATTATTTACCTGGGTGGGTACAAAGAAGTGAGGTTGATTTTCTTGGTTTGCTGTTAAAATGTGATTTAAAGGTCTGCTGCACTTAGTTCAGAAGAGTCAATCAGCAATTTTCTGATTGGTATATTTTGAGAGTACTAAATTATTCAGATTGCCTAACTACATGGACTATATTTATCTTGTGTTTTACTGGAAGTGCTAAATATTTGAAGCAATCTTATAAGAAAATTATTTATGAATTACTTCAAAGCTAATCAGTTGAGTAAAAACTTGAATAATGACAAACTTTGACCTTTTATCTCATTTTGTTTCTCACTTGATATGTGGGGCCTTGGGCACACTGCCACAAATAAGAGAGAAGAGGAAATCCTACAGAACTGGTTATCATAGTAGGCTCTTAATGTGTCCTTGAGATGTCCATATGATGTGATCTAGAATGAATAATAAATAGGCCTGTTTTGAAGACAGAGTATATAAGGAAAACAACTAGAACAAAATAATCTTGAATTGATAAATTACTAAGACTGAAGTTTAGATCAGAAAGTTTCCTAACCAAATCCATTTCATTTTAAATAAAATGTACTTTCCACTTTTTCTCAGGCTAAAAAAATTTCCACCCCCCCATAACTCTTTAGAGCTCCATGTCCTCAAAAGGAATTAAGCACTAACAACAATGGATTTTTCAGTTTAAGGATGTGATGTACTCATTTTAACTTTATTTTCTTCAAATTATCATTCTTTCCTTTTGGATAAGAGAGTCCAATAATCCTTGAATATGAAACTTCAATTATGTTTTCAATATTGTAAATAGTTTTTCTTTAAAACTATACACAATTTGTAATGACCCCAAATTTGTAGAGGCTCAGTGTGGTCAACCAGACCTTTCTGATAAAAAATTTACAATGTATAAGAATATTTTTTTTTCTTCCAATGGATAATCTGGCCCTAAGTCAGGATCTTTATTCAGCTTTTATTAACTATAGTGTTATTCAGACTGTACTGTCACAGAAATTTTCTGTAATTAAAAACATCACCTAGAAATGAGATCACTACCATTGCATTTTTGTCAGTAAACATTCATTTGCATTTCACCCCAGCAAAAATTAGAGTATAGATGCTCCAATCACATTTCTTTGGTAATGATCCACTTATGTCCAAAGACCTTATTTGCCAAATGACAGCTATATATGTCCAACTGTGGTACCACATTAAATCAATTCACTGGTCATTAATGATCTGTACTTCTTTCTGGTAAAGGGTCTTATATCACTAGACTTCTGGCTTTTTATTTTTGTTGTTGTTATTTGTTTACAAAATTTGAAATCAAAGTGCACAGTGGCATGCACTTACAGTCCCAGTTACTCAGGAAGCTGAGGCAGGAGGATCACTTGAGACGTGAGGTTCACGGCTAGCCTAGGCAACATAGTGAGACTCCATCTCAAAAAAAGGAAAAAAAAATCTAAAACTACATGTGTGGTGACATTGTGGTTTGGTTTAAAGTGCCACCAATGCATATTGTCTTAGCTTTGGACACCTCAATCTCTTAGTAAAACAGTGTTCAATCCCTTGCTTTAAAAGATGGAGAAAGAGAAGAAGAAAGCTTACCTAAATGGGTTTGCTCTCCTATATAGCCTCTCATCTATCTGGTCTTGTGTGTCATGGGGATGTAATCCAATAATGATAAATCTATTTGATCAAGGCATAAACTAACAATTAAGCATTTTTGCTTGAAACTACTCCTCTACTTATAATCATGGCTTCCTGATGACAAATGTATGACAGTTAAATATTAATATCCCACATGAATGTAATTTGAAAAACAAGTGAAGTTAAATAATATGTTTTTTTTTGTGTGTGTGTGTGTGTGTGTATGGTTAAAATGTATGTGAGTTGATGATTCACCAATGGAAGCAMTACACAAAAAACGCCTACCATTCTTAGGAGAGCCAGGTGGAAAGAGGCATCATTTAGTTAATTATATAGTATTATAGTATTACTTGTATCTTTCCGCCATTTAGTAAATGAAAATCTTTCCTTTTTTCCAATTCTTCCACAAAAGCTCTGGGAAAGCCTAGCTTTGCCAACTATAAATATGGTACTCTGTATTTCCAAATAGCATCATAATGTGCATTTCACACTATTCTCTGTGTCACTCAGTTTTCCATACTTTTGAAATGAAAAATTGACATTGAAGTTAAGATGACTAGTTTTAGTTAATTAAGAATCCCAAATTTTAWTTGCTGATTTAGGCACCTACAAAAAAAAAATCCATGTTATGTGAATATCAAATACGAGATAACTATACATCTGGCCTTTGTGTATCTGCACATGTATAAAGGCCAAGATCTTCATTTCTGTGTCAGTCTTTCAACACTTTCAAAGTAATGGCTTACAACTTGGTTAAATCTGGACTTTCTTTATTTATCTGGTGAATTTTTACTTTTTTAAAGGCCTTCTTAGACTTCTTTCCCTCACAAAGCTTTTCCTGTTTCCTCCTGTTTCCCATTAGACTTAACTACATTCTCTCAGCATTCACATCTTTACCTAGCCAGCTGCCCTGATACTCTGTGGGTGGCTGGAGGAAGATCCTATGATCAGTGTCCAGCACAWACTAAGCACTCAATAAATTTAGTCTGCAGAACAAACCAATTACCCAACTGAGCAAAGAAACTGAGAGATGGTAGGGAGGAATGAAAAAATAATTTGGTAAATTCTAGCAATGAACAGTGTGGCAACATCATGTAAGTGGTAACCCCATGGAGGCCTCTGGGGTTGCAAATGTTTCATTAGGACTGCCTGAGGCACCAGTTTGACTGCTGCTGTGATGTTGGGGATGATCTTCCTCTCAGAATAAAGTGGATATCCTTTAACTCAATAATAAAACTTGGTGAACTATGATGCCTTTAAAAAATTTAAACCTTTAAAAATGGTCCAAAGTTCTATGGTGCATTTTGAGTGTAAGTTACTCAAAACATCCTATGGAGGTCCAGTGGGTTTCCCTATTTCTTTWCTTTCTAACTATCTGCTGTTGATAATGTTTATTCCTCACAAGTGAAAAAGTAATTTGATGGCTTTCTCATTTCATTATCTCGCACCTTGAGTTCTCTTCTGGTCCTGTTCTTGCCATTTGTCAAGTAGGATTGGAGCAGCTCTTCCAGAGCTGCTTAACTAGGCCTGATTTCCCTGGGCAATTATATTGTCACTGACATTCTGCGCAGAGATCACTTTTGTTTACCCCAAGAACAGGTGGTGACTGAATAAAAGGCAAGGAAAGAAAGAAGAGCCCTGCCCAGAACCACAGGTACAAGTCAGAACAGGACCCCAGAGCAGCCTGTGGCCAGAAGCATGCTTGGAGGTCCCCACCTCTGGTACTCAATTCAGCCTCATTCATGTATGTGAAGGAAAATCACATCCGGGAAAGGGGTGCATTCTTCCTTCTGACTAAAATACCAGTCTGAACTATTATTCTAAAGCAAATAAGCTGCCTCTCAGGGCCTTTCAGTTTTGCTACTGCTTTGGGAACAGATGCTTCTTCTTTCCTCTACAAACCGGCCTGGGAGAAAGGAAGGGGTTTGGGGCGGGGCGGAGGGCTGTCAGGTGGCAAAAAAACATCACTACTTTGCAGAAATCCGGTCCACCCAGTGTGCCCCTTCTCACCAGATGTGCAGACAGCTGAGTGTGGCAAAGAGAATTCCCGCAGCAAAGGCCAAGGGGATGGCCAGGAACACGGTCAGGAATTTGTAGATCACGTATTTGCTGATTTCAAARAGGGCATGGCTGCAGATCCACACCTTGTCGAAGGAGTGCGTAGTCACAGGCTCTGCGATCACATCCTCAAAGCCTAGCTGCGGGGCAAGACGTAGGGACCCGAAATGTCACCCAACCTGTCGCCCCTAGAATGGCAAGCACTAAGAGGCGGGAGAGGCAAGAAGGACCGACATGGCTAGACTCTCCCCACTTTTTCTTAGGATCACATAAGAATTTGACTGAGGATTCTTGGCTATGCAGAGAGCCGGGTGGCGGAGGGGCAGGGCCAGGATACCGGTCCTGGACTCTGCGTGGTGGACCCGGGCGAGGGTGGGGTRGGGCGGGGCGGGGCAGAGGCGTCCGCACTCATGGCGGTGGGGAGGGGGACAAGCCTCCCGTCCAGGTTAAGACCCTCCCGGAGCTTCACCTTGAGATGGGAATTGAGCCGGTGGGGATCCCGGTCCTGGCCCGAGTCCACGAACTTCTCGGGGTCTGCGTAGTCGACGCTGCTGTGGTGGCTGTAGGCGTCGTCATCCATGAAGAGCTGCACGTCCGCCTTCTCGGTCTCCAGCCCCATCGTGGCTCGGTGCGCAGCGGCTGCGGCGGGGCTGGCTCGGTGCAGCTCCGGGCCGTGCAGCCACCCCTTCCCGTCGCGCTCGGCCCCGCCCCGCCTCGGCTCGCCTGGCCCTGCGCGGCCCGGGCGGCGGCTGCTTCCCGCTGCGGGTTCTCACTCCCGGCTCCTGCCGACCCGAGCCCCGCCCTGCTGCCGGGCTTGGGGGATGGGGATCGGCCGCTCCCGCTGGGTCCGGCCTGAGCGCCGGGAATCCTCCCAGCGAGTCATGTTCCTGTCCTGTCCTGCCCAGTGGGGCGAAGTGTGTCAGCGGGGCGAGGCGAGGAGGGCCTCCAGGGCTACGCTTTTGGAGGCCAAACTGTGATGCTTAAGGGCTGGCAGGTTGTCTCAGGGACTATGAACTTACTGATTGTAGACGGCGATGGGGTTAATAGTGCGGAAGAGTCSGGTGTGGAATCAGAAGGTCTAACTTCCCCCCAACCTCTCTTTACTCCGTGTGTTTTGGCCCAGTTGTGTCACCTGCTTCAGAGTTGGGGTGTGTGAAAATTAAATGTTAATTTATGCAAAACTCTTATATGGTCCCTAACTCATAGTACGCTTCCAATCAGTGTTGCTGCGCTATATTGAGCGGTAGATATCCACAATCCACCTGATTGCCAGAGGACCCCACAGGTGCATCAGCCATCCCAGCGCCCCCAGAGTGTGTGAGCCTGCTGGAGAGGCAGGGAGTGGTTGTGTTGCCTACTTGAGACTCCAGGAGTTTACAACTTCATATTCCAAGGGGAGGTCTGTGCTCACCTTCAAACTACAATTCTTAATTTTTCTTTGAAAACACTGCTGAAGATTTCAGGAACCCTTAAGATTCAGACAGATATGTTATTGCCTTGTAAAAAAAAAAAACACGTAAACAGAACCCTAAGCATAAAACCACATTGCTATAGATGAACCCGCTTACTGTTTACTGACCATTCAAACGCTTTCAGAAGGAAGGAGTTGGTAGCTGGACTGGGGAAAGGTGTTCTGCACCTTTCTGATCACCTGGGGTTCCTGGCCCAGAGGCTGTACCACTATGAAAGCCACTGGTGGGCTCTCCTCTTGGAGCTTCCATGCTGTCCAGGTGACATTCTACCTGAACTGGGGCTCCCCTCTGTGAAATTGTTACTGGCACAGAATAGGCCCATCAGCAGTCCCCAGTTGCTGGGTATATCAGCAACCGTAAGTGTCTGGTTGGTTTGGCGGCGACTTTATAATCTAGTGAACTAGTGTGTTTGGGGAGAAAAAATAAAGTTTAGTGAACATTTGCCAAAAGCAAAATAATGACTCTAGACTTAGGGGGCTGCCTACAGCTTGCCCAGAGCACAAGTTATAGTGGGCAAGCATTAACTGTTGCCATTTCAGCGTGTTTGTAGCCTGCTGCACATATCAAACCCCCTTAAGGGAACTGGAGTAGAYGAATTACTTCAATTACTTCTAAAAGGAAAAGTCTATTTTTGAAAAAAAATAATAAAATTACCAAAAGAGAAAAGGAACTGAATGGATAAAAATGTCTTGGAGCTCAAATTCTGAATTTCTAATAATTAAATAAAAAGTTTACTCACTACCACTGTTAGGTATGGATGGCAGTGTTGCAGCTGGGCAAGAGTGTTAAGTGCAGTAGTGTTGAATTCTGGGTCACTGTGCCCCTCCTCTCCCACAGGTGGTCCTCTGCCCTGCCCATTACCATTCCCTTCCTTCTTACTTTTCTGATTTTATTTGTGTTGGATTAGAACTAAAGTGATGACTTAGACATTCTACTTACTGTTTTTTTTTTTTTTCAGTACTTCACTTACCTTCTCCATTCACCCAGGCTGATTGACAACCTGAGATTTAGATATCTTCTAGAATTGCTACCCAAGAATTGTTTCCCAAAGTGAATGGAGGACAGGAATCCTTGAGGGAGTTTGTAATGTTGATTACCAGGAAATAGAAGAGATAGTTTGTAGCCAAATAACATTTTGTAAAAAAAAAAAGACCAGTTTTCTTCAAAACTATAATCCCATATTTTGAAATATTTTACCAAAGAAGAAAGTCACTCCTGCAAGGCTAGATTGGGCCTAAGCAGTGGCTGGAAATCTGGCACCAGGGCTTCTTCCCTTGTAATTCCTGGTCTTCTGATCACATTTGCATTTCTAGYGCAGTTACTAGGAAGTTTGGGAGAGTTATCACAAATAATTGACTCATTTTTCAGGCAGTGGAGCCAGGAGGCCACTGAGGAAGTGAAATTAGCATGATCTTAACAGGACAGTTTAAATTTATTTATAAGATAAAGATATCATGAAAAGGCATCTTTAAAACATAAGCCAAATGAAATCCATCTATATTTGTTGTATATAGCATAGAAGTTAAAAGGAGAATTCATCTTTCATTTATTACAAATTATTTTTTTTGAAAGAGAGAGAATTTTTTTAATATTTATTTTTTTAGTTTTCGGTGGACACAACATCTTTATTTTATGTTTATGTGGTGCTGAGGATCAAACCCAGCGCCCCGTGCATGCCAGGTGAGCATGCTACCACTTGAGCCACATCCCCAGCCCAGATTTATTACAAATTCCTAATGAACACTTCCTTCTCCCGTGGACTGGGGTCTATGTAAGTCTTTTATTTTGATGATTATTTCCGCATTTCCTCTAATACATAAGTTCTTTTTGAGCGGAGCTTTAACATTTATTTTGCTTTCCTATTAGTAATGCTCAGATAATGGCAGCTGCTGCTGTTCTGGGCTTAAACCAGAGAGATTTCCAAATGATAACCATCCGTACTAACCTGGTAGTCAGCAAATGACATTCCATCCCTACTAGCTTGATGGGAGATTTTCTAAAGGAAAACCAGAGGAGGTTGAGTACACCTAGTATCTCCTAGACTGCTCTCTAATGGAAAGAACTAAAAAAAAAAATCATAATAAATTGGCTGTTATCACATATCTTAGTTTCTGACAACAGGTTTTTAGATGGTGTATTTTTAGATTTTTAGATGGTGTATTTTTAGTGGTGTATTAATATGTTTGAGGAATGGCAATTGATACTAAATTAATATTTGTGAGTAGAATAATTTATAACCATTTCATTTCTTGATTTTCTTATTTAAGACAGGCCATTTTTCTGCCTCATTGAAAATTGTGTGTGAATCTTTATGAGTAAAAATATCTAATTTCCCCCTTTGGTTTGTTCTCAAATCACACATCTTGTTCTCTGAAGAGTTTATATTCAATTTTATTCAGGGTTTGTTTTTTAAGCTGCCTTTGGGCATATTGGTTATTAATGGAAATAATAGCTTCTTGATCTTACCATATAGTTAAATAATATTTAAAGTATTTAAGTTAAACCAGGGTTTTTCAACCTTGATTCCATTGACATTTTGGTTCAAATCATTCTTTGTTGTAAGCTGTTGTCCATTGCACTGCAGGATGTTTAGCAATATTCCTGGCTTCTATCCACTAAATGACAATCATACTCCGGAGTCACGACAACCAAAAATGTTTCCAGATATTGCCAAACGTCCTGTGGGACCCCAAATCACCTTTCTCCTCCTTCTTTGGGCTGAGAACAACTGAAACAACACCATTGAAACACTGTTATGTGAATGGAAAAAATTAAGCTCTAGCTGTACATTTATAATCCCACACTTAAAATGACGCTCAAAACTGTGATACCATTTTATCGGAAATTCCAGGGTTTTTTGAAGTTTAGCTTAAGGATATTTATCTGTGCTGTAAAATTTTCAATAGAACCAGTTGTCATTGTTGAACTGTAACATTTTAATATGCTGATATAAATTATGGGGTATTTATGTCCCATCGAGAGAGAGAGAGAGAGAGAGAGAGAGAGAGAGAGAAAGCACTTGCCAAGCCCTGTCTACTAGGACTGTTTAAATGATTTTATCTGGAAAATCATGGATTTGGGACTTCTTGATGCACAAGATTCCATCTTAGGGATATATAAAAATCAAGACTTTTCAACAAACCTCAGCACTGAGTAGCTTTTCCCAACCTTATAGGTGACCATAAGGGAGAAATCCATAGACTTAGTAGAGGAAGACCCAGACAGGTGCTTACTAGGTCCTTTAAGCTTCTCTCTCAGGCTTTCTATGGACAGCAAGGACAAAACCATGTACCTTGTCAGAGGATGGGGGATGGTTGGAGGGTGAGGGTTAAGCAGGGAAGAGATGAAAAGATGCAATAATAAAGAAGAAGCAGGGCTCAGGGAATTATACAAGGAATATGTAGATCTCACTGTGCCACAGAGTGGCTCATACATGAAACAACAGGTGTCTCTGAATTTCTCAAGTTTTGTGCCCTGCCCCAAAGTTTAAAGGAACAGATAAAAAATGTCTACTAATAGTTATTCAATAATCAAGTTTGTGAAGTGGTGCCAGGTAGTCATATGTTATTTAATGAAAGTTTCTTCATTTTTTTCTCCTGCATGCCTCTTTTCTTTTTATCCACATTCTGTGTAAAATAAGCCTTGCACCAGTGAACCAGGAATTTCTAGTTTAATATTAAGACACAGTAGCTTGTTTGTAATTGGTGCCAGCTTAATTTTCTGGCTGTTTCAAATAGCACCTCCTCTGGCCAAAACTCTTTTCATACACAAGAATTTGCAGAATTACCTGGGTTTGGGAATGCTTGGCTATATATGTGTATTAAGAATTGTAATGCAAAAAAAAAAAAAAGGAGTGCATGTATAATGGCATAATTTGGCGTGAACATACTTTATATACAGTGTTAAGAAAAATTGTGCTGTATATGGGTAATAATGAGTGTAATGAATTCATTATTGTCATGTATCTAAAATATAAATGAAAAAAAAATTAAAAATAGCCAACAAGGGAAGAAGGTATACTCTTGAAAAGTCTGTGTTCATGATTAGAGCTGATGGAATAGTCATTCTAATCTCATTCAAAACATTGTATGACAATTAATTTTAGATTTATTTTATCCTGTTTTCCGTAACTAAAGGATGTTCCTGTTTAAATCTTTTGAGTATCCCATTCATTTTTGGAATACTGTATATATAAATCAGACATCTCTGTAGGACTTAACATTTTATCTTCCTGGAACATGAGATAGGCATTCATTAACTTTTGGTGAGCATTAATTTTCAAGTTC